CTTGCCCCATTGTGTGTTGAATGGTAGCCTTTTGATTGGCCGCTTCCCCGTTCCTGAAAATTGTATACTCAATCAAAGGAAGTAAACTGAAGAGAAAGAAGAAAGAAATGAAAAATAGCATGTTAGTCAGCAGTAGATGCTATTAAGTTGTATGAAAAACCGGTTGGGAGTTTTGTGAAAAAATATAACAGAGCGATAGAAAGTAGATGTGGTGATCCAGACTTCCGTGACCGCAGTCCATGCCCGACCAGGTACAGTTTCATGTCATCCAATCACCGTTCAGGAAGCTCGACCAATGGTGCACGGGGCGAACGTGACATCCGAGTAAGCACATATGATACGCTGGTGCAAACGGTTACGTGATTAGAGAATGCTCGTTCAACCAATGATATGGATTATTACATTCTATAAAACATGCTCTAATTCCATCAATAAACATAAGTATCAACTCCTCGTGTATTTCATTGGTGTCCTCATTTCGGGTTGGAGCCAATTCGGTTCTGAGCAGTACAGTACGGATTCTCGTATTCCAAAATTCAATACTATTCCGATTACCACAGTGGATTACTTTCGTTACTTGTTTCCAATGTTTATAGTTATGTACCGTTTAGTTAGAAAGGAATTTAGATATACCGTCCTGCGTATCTTTTGGGTATCTGAGAAATTGAAATTATTTACGATGCCCCCCAGCTTAGTATTCGCACATTGCACCCGCTACTCAGCCCGTTTTCAGTTTCGTGTGCCTATAATTGTCCCGAAACTTACTTAACTTTCTTCAGTGCAATTCTTTGTAACCCAATTATAGCATATCAATTCCAGATATTTCTCCATTCCTTTGAAATGTTAGGCTAACCACAGAATTGGGTATATGGAGTCCACCATAATATGCGACTGTCTTATCTGTTATAATCACAGCATCAACATTAACCCATTTGATGAAAACAAGAAAGTTCTAGATTGAACACGGGACAAAAATCGCATTAGAAGGAAATCAAGTCATCTGAAATAATTGAAATATCTATTACATAGGTGAATTCGTCGTGTATGAAGCGTGAACTGATGAGACCCAACCAGGTAGAAAAAGCTGACTAATGCTTCTTAGCTTTTCAGTAAACGCTTCATTTGCTATTTGCACGACGAATTCATCTTTGAAATTGAATCAAATCCTCCATTACTCACTTGAAACATCTACTACGGGCCGTATTGGGTACATTGACTTCTTTCTCGTATTCCAAACTGACAGATCGCTGTGCGATCTACTCATGACTTTCTGTTGAAAAATGTGTAGCACTAACTCTGTAGAAGTCTACTCGTTCGTTCGTTTTTGTTGGTACTAGTGTATGTTCCGACCGATTGATACATTCGTTACGGTAAGCGTCGGTAAACATAAGTGACGGATCAAGTTCAACACGTGATTCACAAGTTAACAGTGCATCGCTCAAACTGTCAGGGGCGCGTCAGATCCGGGTTATGATGACCTTTGGTCAGTGAGCTTTCTAATTTCATCAGTGCGACTCTCGTTCATTCATTCACTCAGGCGCGTCTGCACGACGGCGTTTATCGATCGCTTGGATCTGACATCTGACTATACACACCCGCTCACCAGTGAAATCGCGATTATCATTCACTTGTTTACACGTTAGTGCGACAGAGCCAATCGATAGACCGAATGGCCGTGGTTTTGGTGACAACTGCAACAAAATGACCACATTCGGGTGCCCCACAGAATTGTGGAAAAAAGCTTTGCAGATAACAAAAATGTACCTTTGGCAATCATAAATTATTGGTTGTCTCCGTCTAGCTCTCCTTTAGAAATCAATAAGTGTGCTGTTTAAATCAACTGTACACTCCAGTAATCGACCGGAAATGTGAGCATCAGCCAAGGCAAACAGCTGAGATTGATCCAGTAACTTATGTGCTTCTCTAACTGAGATAAAATACGGCGCATTCACTACTTCACATTTGTCTTCTTCTTTGTGACGCTTAGCTTGATTCGAAACGAGGCGATTTCCTTTTCAAAAAGACGTTCATTAATAGACACAGCGAGTAAAGTCTTCAATCAGATTGCGGTCATCGTCTGGTGGCTGCATCAACGACTGATTCAATGTGAGTTTGAACCCAGCTTTTATGAAAACGTCGATCAGTACGTGCGGATGCACAGACACACAAGCTTTCTTGACCAGATGCATACCCATGAGAATGTCCACTTCGGATTTCATGCTACGTTGCTCATCTTTGATCACAGACAAAACATATTCCAGTAAATGTTTGCGAAACGGACATTTGAAGACCAAATCACACCCTGGTCCACTGGTTGTAAAATTGAAGAACGGTTCGGGGCCAGCCGTACTGATTTGGATACTGCGGTTTTGTTATGTCACGGGCGTTATCTATAAATAGTAAAACAGAGCATCTTTGAAAAACCATCTCGTGGTTGACATCCGACAGCTAACTATGAAAAAACGCAGAAGTCATCCATTATATATTTGAAGATTTACAACTGTAGGGAAGGATTTTTCCATCTATACCTCGGAGACATCATGGAGTTTGAAATTTCCCCCCAACCGACGGTGCTAACCATTCTCCAGTTATGCTCCCCCAAAGCAGTAATGTGACTCTATCTTTGGATTTCTTGAATCCAGAAAGTGTTCTTTCTGGGAGCTGCTTACAATAAAAGGGGGGGGGGGTCATGTGAATTGAAAATATCACATTCGGCATATCCATGGACTAACTGCAGTAACCCCACTCGAAACTCATCCACTGCATCAGGTGGTAACGCCAAACTTTCACCGTAAACTTATGAACTAATGTACATGAGTACTTGTCTTTTACTTTGTAAGATTGAATAACATATTTGACTGACCAATAGCGAAACCAACTTTTAGAAGCCTTGAAGTCACGATGATGTATGCTTTGTGCTGATTGAATTGCCTTACAAATGATGCTCTGTATCATGGGGAACTCGCCGTGCTTTTCACTCCAAGCAGTAATCCAAGCCAAGATTGCCTCATTCACTGTTTTGAAATTTACGTTGGTTTTCAGGCGGCATTCTTCCTTAGGTGCTTCAGTGTTCAAAAGTTACCCGATAATAGTTCAATGGGATATAACAGTCTAAAGAGTTTTTCTTGAAAAACCAAGTGATCCGGCTATGGAGCTCTGAGTTGCACTGGGCTGATTCAGCATTTCCAACACGTTATGATCTATAGGCGATCGCACATTTTGAAGTCAAGTGACAGTCTTCGATTGTTGGCATCGGTATGTCTTCCTGGCAAGGATTATCCAATCAGTGAACAGTGTCAGGTTCGCGTCACACTAGATGAAACGCCATTGGCTGAGTGCGATATTGTAGATTGGCTGGTCAATGGCCGACCCGAACATGGGTTAACGACCAAGTGAGTAGGTATCAGGAGCTGCGACATTGAGGGCGGTGACAATTTAGGGTTAGAAACTACGTTATAACGCATACGGTTGGTTTGGGTTTTCCAAAAAGTGGGAAGGTATTGGAAAATGCGACCTCTCAGAGGTGCGACATAGTAAGAGATTGACTGTATTCATCGGGAGGTGCGAGAAAACTAATGTAAAATGGGTCATAAATTAAGTGAATTGCTCGGCGGATAGCAGAATTGTAAACCTTTTAGGCTTAACAAAACATTCATCAAAAATAG